TTAATGTTTTTGTTAGTAATTGATATAGTGGCTGACTCAATCGGTTACTATTTCGGTCCCTATTTTAGTTAGTGACCGAAAATTGGTCACTATTTGATGTTTTTGTTGTAGTGTAATTTGATGAAGAAAAGTGCCTAAAATATTTATCCTTTGAGAAATCTATATCAGTGATTTTAATAAGGTCATTTTCTACTAATAAATATCTCAAATTTGTATCAATATTCTTTCATTGGCTTGGATCATATATATTTTCATCAATAGTATAATTATAATCTAGTCTCTCAATATCCTCCTCATTGTTATGGGTTTAAGAATCAAAATTATCCTCATTACTAACTTCTCTCTCTCTTGTTTCTTTCACCTATGTCTATATTGTTATTATCTTGTTCATTCAAAGAGCACCCACCTGTATTTTCTAATTCATTTTTCTTATCTATTTTTATAAATTTATCCATAGCTCCTTTTTGTGATGAAATTAAGTCTCGACTCTTCTCTTTTTTTGGAGTTTTGATAAACCTGATTCATATTTTCTAGTTGACATATCTATATATTTTTATATAAAATAAAAAATTATAATATATAAAATACTACTAAAGATAAGTATATAAAAAAGAATGAGTCGAAACGAGTAAAACCTGGTTTTGGTTGTGAGTTGTCAAGAAAATAAATGGTAAACGAACCGAATGAAACTGTAAAAGTACAAACGATAAACGGTAAATTGAAAAAGACAATATCAGAGTATCCTAATGTATAACAAGTTTTAAATTTTTTATTTTTACCTCATATGACGCACTGTCGCACTACAAAGAAAGAAATGTCAAATAGCTCCTTGCTTGAGTTGTGTTGCCTCCTTCTACCCCTTGAAATCAGTGAAATCAAAACACACAAGTAGAATGCCAATAAGTAACACACGTACACAACATATAAGAGATGACTCAGATGAAAAATTGGAAATATTGAGTCATTAACTAATGTGTTATGTGTATGTATCAAACATTCAAACTGAGTAGTATGAAAAGTATAGAGAATGAATAGATGAGAAATAAAAAGTCACATAAAAAGAAAAGAGAAGATAAAAATTAAAATTAATTAGTAAAAGAATAGAGATAAAAAAGAAAAACTTTTGGACTTCTTTAATTATTAATATTAACTAACCAATTTTTTTTCTTAAAAAAATTTGTTAAAAATAATATTAGTATTAAAAAAAAATTTGGGAGGCCTTTATTTTTTTTTTTCCTAAAACAAGGACTTTAGCTGCTTGGGCCTTGAGCTGCGTGAGCATTACATACTTAATTAGTTAAATAAATACCATGAAACATTCTTAATTAAAATTCTCCCTGGTGTAGTTAACAATTTGCTCCAGCAAAATATTACTATTTTCTTTTTTCATTTGCACAACAACTACTTCATGGGATTTGCAAAAAGGTGTGGGTGAAGGGAAGTAGTGAAATATGACATAACTCCAGGGATAAAGGTATTTGTTGCCATCATGCCCTTCTTCTATTTATGGCTATCCTTTTATCCAGAATATATTGCAAAAAAGACAGCCAATAAGTACAACAAGGAGCCAGAATATATCTCATCATGTTTCCAATGTAATTCAATCCTTTTTATGCGAATCTAAACTTATCAAACTATCATTTCTCATCACAATATTATATTCTACTCATCTATTACAACCTGGCATAATCTAATATTTACCAAAAAAAATCATTAATTTTATGATTTTTTTTAAATTTTTACTATTATTTTTCAAAATCTAATAATTTAAAATAATAACTAACCTTAATCATTAAATTAAAAGATATATATCTGTGAGATGAAACGTTATATATATTTAATAAAGTATGATCCATATTAATCATAAAAATTATTGTAAATTATTAAGTAATATATAGCGGATACGAATAAAATTGAGTTTAGGTTATGTTAGATTAAAAAAAAAATGATATCTTTAAGTTCTTAAAAACATTAGTTTGTTGCACACTATAACGTTATGGTGAGAAAAGAAAATCTAATCTGAATTATATGTTCAAAGTTAGACCAAGTAATAAGAACTGAAATTAAGGAACATGAAAATCTTGAGAAGGAATTTGAACTAATTCGTTTATGACATAATGACACTATCATATTTTTCAGCAAAACTGAAACAAAAAAAATATATACGTGCTCCAGAAAATTTATACGAATTTCTACATCAGAATTTTTCTTTTGGGTACGTGACTTTAAGTCTCTTCTTTTAAAAAAAAGAAAATCAAATATTCCCCCAGAAAGTCATGATTTGCTTAACTTTATGCAAGGTAAAAAGAATTGATAGAAACCTGTTTTGGTGTAGTAAAATGCAGGCATGTACATGATACATAATGCCAAGGGAATCCATGATAAACCTGTATAAAATTTTTAGTTTTTTAATTCTTAACTTTTAGATCAACTTTTACCATTTACATTCAATTGAATTAATTTATAATCCTAGTTATCAGATCTAGAGTGCAGTAAGCATGAATAACCTATTGCTTAGGACCATTTGACTATGTCATTTTGAAGCTCAAATTGGGAACCATATTTTGATCATTTTCAAAATGTATTTATGGTAATGTTATTAAAAATGGTGTTATATTTTATGACTAAAATGCAATGATGCCTTGGATTTCAAATTTTTCTCCTTTATTTTTTAATAGCTTACTTGTATGAAAATAGGGTGGCAAGACGGAAAAAAAAGTATAACCTTTTATTTTATTTTTCATAAAAAAAATATTAAAGCGAAAATAATTTAAATTTTAAATCGATTAGAGATACAATAATATTATAATATATACTTGATTCTATCTTAATAAATCAATTTTATTTTATAACATTTAGTGACATATATTATAGGGAGACGAAGAGTCATGATTCTTGTAACTTGTATTAACATTTATAATTTTGACCTTCCATCATTATTTCCAAAGTTTTATAATTTATATTAATATTTATGATTTTGTTCTCTCCGAGACTTCATGATTATTAAATGTACCTGTTTTTATATTTACAAATTTGACCTTTAACCTTTTCATATTCATCTATCATTTATTAATAATATATTATTTGATTCTTGAATATCAATGATCAATGTCTATCACTAATAACATTTAATGAGGTATTTCATTATTTTTAAGATGATATCAAAATTAATTCTACTAAACCGTTATAGAATGAACATAATGATCAATATTAATTTTATGAGATTCTTCTATCAACTAAATATAAGATAATATTATAATATATGAATTTAAGAATAACCATGGAGTTAATTATCTTATAACTTTTAAGAAAAATCCGAAAAACCAGTGGTAGAAATTACATTTTGGAATAATTTTTGCAACCAATTCTCTTTGACTAGTGTGACACAAAGCATCATAGACTTTGGAATGAGAACATGGATCTCCAAATCTGCGGTTACAAATGAGTGGTGTGGTCCCAATTCCAACTTGTATAAAGCTTTTGAAGTAGAAATTGGATACTCTTGAGAGATAAATTCAGGTTAGGATATACGTGGATGATAAGGATTTCAGATGTATCAGCATCGCATCACTTCCACACCTTCATTTATGTCTTAAAAAAAATCAATTTATTTAGTCTCCAATCGAATGTTGAAGTTTTATAAATCGTATAATCCATAACCTTAACACATACTGTATCGAATTCTCTTGGAAGATTATCTAGTGTCTCGTTTCCAAATATCTTCCTAATTTGGGTTTACAATTTATTTTCACATGTTTGTTTACCCTTTTAAAAATGACATTGAACAAATATGTCTTTCACATTTGGGTTTTTCAGAAAATGTTACACGTTTATTCAATCCTATCATAAGCAAATTACCCAAATCCCGGACACTAATACATCTAAATCTATAAACCAAGTTTCATTTAAAAATTACATGTTTGATAAACAGATTCATATCTGCTATATTGATCTTCTTGGAAACTAATTCTGAACTCGGAGTACTTAAAGATTATTCTGAAGCTTGAAAGAATGTCTTAAATATATTATGTTTTAAGTTAGACTTTTGCTCATAACCTTGTTTCTTGAAGTAGCTTTTTTGACAGTTATGTTAAAACTGAAAAATTTGAAGAGAAAGAGAGATATGGGATAAGGTCCTCTTCCGGTACCGGTAACTTTGATTATAACGCTTAATAATTAATATTTTTACCCAAACTTTTTTTAATAAAATAGAATTTTTAAATAAACAATACCTCTTATATAAGAATTAATCCTAAATGATATTATTACGGTGATAAGATACCGAATGTCATTCCTAAAGGAACAAAAGAAAGAATTGTTATCATGCTTTAAGATAAAGTAAATGAAAAACAGTGATTGTCCATGAAAAATGGCATGATTTACAGACTATAAATCAAAGACAGCGTAAATGTGAAACAGATGGAAAGCGCTATGCTTCATCTCTGAGGTACACTTTGCAGCACACACAGCTTTTAACAACAACAAAAATACAGCTATCCATGTTAGTTTTTCCTCTTATTATGCTTCCATCATATCTCAGTAAATTAGAAAACTATTCAATAGTCCCTTTTTCTTTACATAAAGAGAAATAAAAATTTACAATCATGACTGTTTTGGACTAATTAACATTGCTACAACAGTAGATAAAGTGAAAAATTATCAGTTGCGTAACAATTAACAGATTAAAATACGATATTATTATATTATTGTTTATAATCAGAGATATAAATTTCATGTTATAAATTTTTTGATATGATTGAGTTAGGTTGTATCCACGTTTTTAACTATGATAGTAAATTTTTTTCAGCCAAGCCTAACATTTTCTTGGAAGATTGTTGAGTAAGAAGGGAGTAAGGACTTATCTGAATTGCAGCCACTTTGGTGGCATAACCACAAACACAGAAAGAGAAATTGAAAACATCCAAAATGTAAAAAGGTGCTTTTGTGTTTTTCTTGTCTGATCCATACACAGCTCTATGAAGATCTTGGCATGAAATTTTCTACACTGCTGCATGATACCTGCGCCCGTGAACGCTTGATGGACCCATCTTGTCCTCTGTAACAGTACAAAAGGCAACCATCTGAATTCAGCACAAGAGACAATGAAAAACCATTATAAAAAATCATATCCTCAGTTTTCAATTTATACTTTGATAATTGGTTGTTTCATTTCTATTGAGAAATTTCAAACCATGGTTTACCTAGAAGGTTCAGGATTTTTCACAATTTGTCCCCCCACTAATCTCAGAAATCAAAGGGTATTTCAGGTAACTCTAGACTAGTTGAAGATTATTACCTCAACAGGCATAAAAATCATTAAAGTTTTGCATTAAATACTTTTTCATGCACAGAATCAAAATTCTTACGGAATTAACTGAGATTGGCACGGTGAAGAGAAAATTTTGAAAATATTTATGGTGGAAAGCAACAGCTAGCATAAAGTACACAACCTACAACTCACGCACTTTCTTCCAAGGCGATCATCATCCACCAGTATATAAAGGGTATCGCCAATGACAGTTTCCTCATCCTCATAGCTTTGCCATAACAACATTGAACTTTCATTCCCATTATTTGTCTTTTGATTATTATTATTATTATTATTATTATTATCATTGCTATTACTATACATACATAACTTGTCATCACAATGGCCTCAGGCTCAGTTTGGACAACAAAGCAGAACAAGAAGTTTGAGAATGCTTTGGCCATCTACGACAAGGACACCCCAGATCGGTGGCAGAAATTGGCCAGGGCAGTGGGAGGAAAAACAGTGGAGGAAGTGAAAAGGCACTATGAGATGCTCGTTGATGATTTGAGGAAGATTGAAGAAGGTCACGTGCCCTTGCCCAATTACAGACAAGTTGCTGCAGCAGAAGGAGGCAGCATCAGAGGTTACAGTTACACGAACGAAGAACAAAGGTTAAACTCAGTCCTTATTATTCAACCTCTTGCATATAAATATTGCTTCAGCAGTGCTGGAGAATTTGAATCATGTACAACTAGACTTTCTCTGCTTCTTCATTGATGTTTGGTTACTGTGTTTCTCACCTCATTAGGACTTATTTTAGCATGAAATTGGTTTTTGTTTTTCTGTTTCAAAACGTTTAAAAGTCTTACGTTGGACAGAACATTTTCGATCATGGGAAAGAAATTCTTTGTTAATGTCGGCTGAGAGTGATTATGCATTTTCTTTTTGATGCAGGATGAAGGTTCTAAGCCTCCAGTGAAGTATTAGAAAGAGACATATTAAGTTCATTACCAACCAATCAAGCTAAGTGAAGATTAAAATGCATGCACTGATGCACCTAGCTTGGTTCTGTGATAACAAAATCAAGTGTCATTTTATTGACTTATATATTTCATGTATCTGTGCCTTTAAATGTACAAGCAATCAAATTATCTCAAGGACATGCCAACCTTTTGAAGGTAAAGCATGTATAATATATATATATTATCCATGGACCAGTAGTTTGTGTGAAGTTCGTTTTACTCTTTTTTTGGATGAATAAAAATGATGGAAAGGAAAAAGTATTTAAAAGATGAATTTAGCAAAGAAGCAAGTGTTTATATAATAATGGTATTACATGCAAGTTTCTAACTCTTTACACCGACCATAACTTGGATTCATGATTGGTGTCAGGAAGGTTTGGAACCAGATGAAAAGGTTGTCCAAGTCAAAAATACGCTACTTTCAAAATCCCTACTGCGCCTTAATTCTATAATATAATCATTACTCTTATAAGTTTAATCACCCTTAATATTTTCTTATATTTTCTTAATACGCTACTTCATTTATTGTGAAACTTTTTCTCTCACCAGGATGGTAAATTGAAATCATATTGATTTTCTTATAACTATGCAAGATATTATTATTATTATTATTATTATTATTATTATTAAAGAAATATAGTATTATTATTGTTATTGTTATTATTATTATTATTTATGAAAGAAAAAAATAATAATTAATTTTTATTTTATTTAAAAATTAATTTTATTTAGTTTTTATTGTATATATAAAAAAAGGGACCGTGGCTACTCCCACGGCCCTGTATCCGCCTCGGATCTCAGTTCATTCAAAATACTTTAAATTGGCGAGACTACATTCTTCTCACAAAATTTAAAAAAAAAAAAATCTGATTAAGTGTGAGATATATGTTATTTTTTTTTTTAAATCTTATCATGATAATATAAAATTTTGAATTACTTGTTTTGGTTTGGTTACAAGAGTTTGTTAAGTGCTGTTGCTTGAGGAAGCATATTATTGTTACAAGAGGAAACATATTTAATTTTATTATTTAAATTTGACGATAATGATTTAAATTTTTTATATTTTTTTATTCCCATTTCAATAGTAATTCTACACAATTTTCTTTCTTGTTTGATGAACTAAGTAGCTAAATTATAAAACAATTGATCATACATTTTGAAACTGTAACAATTAATTAATTGTTTACGTCCTCACTTATGAAAATAAGAATTATAAAATACATATTTATAAAATAATATTTAGGAGCTATATGAGATTCACTTATAAGATTAACTTGAATTTTATTTTCATTGAATTAAATTAAATCTCTTATGAATTTCTAACACATTATAAATTAAATCTAACTAAAATTATTAAATAATAGTTATTTTATTAATAATAATATAATTATTATTTAAATTATTGAATTATTCTATTAATGTTAAAACTATGTTTAAATATTAAATTACTACAAAAAATTTATACATTAATTATGACACATTTCTTAGTTATCGTATGGTTAATCTTTCATGGATTTGCGCCAAATTAACTAAGAAATAGTCCATCACCAAATCTAAGTAGCTAACTAGAGATATGTATTCTCTTTCTATTTTGTAACAAATTTTGTTGTTTATCTATCACTAAGTTCCTTACTAATTTAAGTTATGAAGTGTTGGTTTTCCTTACTTAATCCTTTACAATTTGTTTCTCGTTAATTTCTTATAATTTGTCTCTTGTTAATTCTAGCTAATTTCTTACAATATTTCTCTTGTAATCTTTAGTTAATCTCTCGTAATTTGTTTTCGTTAACTTGCAGATAATCTCTTGTAATTGTTATCTAACTAATTTATAACTAATCTTTGGTTAATCTATAGTTAATCTCACTAATTTGTCACTATTGACTCTTTAATACGTAATAAATTTTACATCTATTTTGTAGCAATTTCGTCACTCTTTAATATCAAATGTTTTATATTAAAATAGTTACACATAATTTTGAGAAAAGAAAAAAAGAAAACTAAAACTTATTAACTTTCAATATAAAAGTACTAATTAAATATAGTCAAAATGTTGTTTCAAATATTTAAAATATAATCGAAATAATGTTTCAACTAAAATACTAGATCAACACAATTAGAAATAAAAACAAAGTTTTTTATTGTTGGAAGCACATTATCCTTGTTTCTTACAATAAATATCTTTTAAAAGATTGCATTTCTTCTTGCATTTGTTGTTGCATAATATTAGATATTAGGGTAGCTAAGATAGTTATTTTTTCAGTAAGAGGTATGGTAGGATTTTGGAAAGATGCACCTTCAATTGATGAAGATGAAACATGTGAAACAATGCCAAGATTCAAAATTTGACCAATACCATAAATTCTACCATTTTTATTTTCACCAGAAGTCTTTATCCAAATATCAAAATAAACTATAGAATTTTTTTATGTATCTTCCCTATAAAGATTTAATTTATCCCAACATCAAACCTAATATTTTGATGTATCCAAATATCTCATACCAACATCAAATATAATATTTAATTCATAACTACTAATCAATATTAATTAACAATTATACGATTTCAATTGTAATATATTTTCCTTACATACATTATAATAAGATCAAATGTGTAAAGTATGAATACCATTTTTTTTTTCAAGTGTTGTCCAAAGTTTTTTCACTCTACAACGTGCATCATGGCATCAGGCTTGGCAGCCATATTGCCCTTACCTGCAATAAACTTCTTTTTCCATTTTTTTTTGTTGCTCATATGTCCGCTGATCCATCTCACATCCCAATTCTTATACTTCTTGGTCCAAGACTCTTTGAGTCGCGAATATTATCTGAATTTGCCTTTTCTTTTACCTTTTCCCTTTCCTTAACTAAAGAGTCAGAATATTAATCCATGTATGTCAGATTTCAAACCTTTCTTGTCATACTCCAATCATAAGTTGATGCAAAACAACACTTGCTCTACATCGATATAAATTAGATAAATTTATTGCTTGATACAAAAGTTGAAGCAAAACCATTATAATAATTTAACATGATAATTAATAACCATAAAATTGTTGAATAAATTTTCTTTTTTATCAGCAGAATAATGTTTCCAATTTGGTGCTAGATTAGGAATTCTCATGAGTAACTCAAATATATTATCTCAAGTCACTAAATGAAGAACAAACATCCTTCTACAATTTAAAATTTTCAATGTATAAATTATGATTTAGTAATATAAAGTTGAATAATTGATAATTAATTTTAAGCTTACTTATGGGTTATTAACTTGTTTGATATGAGTGTAGGTTTTAATTTAAGCACATAAAGTGTTTGATATAATTAAGATGAGAAAACCCAAGAAAGATTCTAACTAGGCACTAAGGTGATCACTTATCTAGGTGTGAAGGTTCACTTCTAAGGATTCAAGAAAGGAGAGGAAAGGAAACAAAGTAAGAAATAACTATGAATAAAGGCTAGAAAAATAAGACCATCCATAGTAAAAAGCAAAGGAAGAAAAAAAAATAGAATGAAGAAGAGAAGAAGTGGAGGGTGAGGATGGAAGGGTGGTGTGCCACTTGGAGATGGACCAACCCAAGATGAATGGTGATTATTGCCACTTGAACCAAGATTCAAGATAAGACCAAGAGAAAAAACATTCAAAGAGAATAACTCTCAAACTTTCATTCAAATTCTAACCATTTACAAGAGGTGGGGAGCCTTCTATATATAGACATGGTTAAGGGACCTAGAGGAAATTATATTAGGGATTCTATAAGCACATGTTTCCCTAATTTTAACCTAGAAGGGGTGGATCCCCTTGTTTTCTTACCAAAGTTGTGGTATTTCTCTTCTAAGAGGTTAAAGATTGACCTTCTCTACCCTCATGGGTTGTCCATGCTTCAAAGGCTTGGGTCCAAAGCTCCTTTACTCCAAAAAAGTTGGTGGACTTCAAAAGAGAGGTGTCATTTAGTAATCATATAAAAACAAGATTTAAATATTGTTGAACATACAAGGATATGAATCATACAAGGATATGAAACTTGTAGATTTTGATGATGATTCAAGAATAAAGGACTTAAAGATTTGAAGACTTGTAATGTTATGTAATAACTCTGTTTTTATGTTTTTGAGTCTGTAATATTAAAGTCCAAGATAACCAACACATAGACTACTCTTTAAAAGCTCTAAAAACTCATTTTTATCAAAAAGTTACTGGAATAATCGATTAAACCACAGGATAATCGATTATTACAGAAAGAAAACCATTTTCAGTATTTGCTCATTGGATTAATCGATTAAATAGGCTGTTAATTAATTAACTGGGCAAAATAATCAATTAAATGGGCTGTTAATGTTAATCAATTATCTGGCCCTGTATTGCTTTTCTGCAAGAATGGCTCTAGAATAATCGATTAACATTTAAGATAATCGATTATTTGGGTATGTGTTTTGAAATTCAAAATTGGACCAAGTTTCGAAAATCCTATTTCCCATTCATCAAGTTTCAAAAATCCCCAATTCCCAAACCCTATTCTCTCTACTTAAGGTTCTCTAAGGCTCTCTGCAAAAAGAACAACCTTTTTCATAAAAAAGTTAAGAGCTGTGACTACTAGAGAACTGTTTGTAGGGAAGAAAAAGGGGCTTTTGAAATCTAGTGTGGGTTAGAAGCGATAAGAATCACTGAGTGGGTTTCTTGGTGGATTGTGTGTTGTGCCATCTCTAGGGAAAGTTGTTCTTCATCCTTTATGGATTCAAAGGAGGTTTTCATCTCTTGTGTGACTCAAGAGAGGTGTTTTCTTTACCTTATCTTTTCATTTGTAATCTGTTTGTAAACTGTGATTATAATGATAGCGTTAATCCTCTTTTTGAGTGATTAGCAACTGGACGTAGGGTCTTTTGATCCGAACCAGTATAAATCAACTGTGTAATCTTCTATCCCTTCTCTATTTATTTTACACAGCATTTTAATCGGTGA